CCACGCCCACCCAGTCACATGGCTGGCAAGCCACTCCCACAAAGCAGGCCACACCTACAGAAGAGGTTCTAAAAAAATTTGAAACCCACCACTGCCCTGAATGTACGTATGTACTTATTATTTTTTTTAACTTATTTATTAAATGTATATGCTGCCCATCACATGAGGTGGAGAGAATAGAATAAAATAGATTTGAAGGGGGAAAAAGATTCCATATTGTAACCTAGATTTCAAAGACAGACTTTCTGTAGCTCTCTCTAGCGCCAATAGGCTACCTTGCACTTCTCTCCGATGTTATTCTTCCTTTTGAAGTTCTCAGCTAAATCAACATATCAACAAAATAATATTTTAGAAGTTTGTGGCGATACCAAGAAATGCTTATCCCAAATCAGGTTCTTAAAAGCTGCTTCAGACAAAACCTACATAATACAGAGAAGTGAAAAATGGGCCTTTCTCCTGTAGTCAATTGAAATGCTATTCACCTACCTCTGAACTGGCAGAAAACTCTAGAGCAGGGGTGTCAAAATGGATTTCTTCAAGGGCTGGATCAGCATTGTAGTTCTTCTCCATGGGCTGGGTGGGTGGGGGCACGGGGGAGAGACGGGAGAGACGCTTCCTGCAGCACTTTGCTGGCCAAAAGGGGCACATGGTGGGCTGTTTTGGCCGGTAGAGTGCTGCAGGATGCCGTCCAGGCCAAAAACAGGGCATGGGGGGTGTGGGTGTGCATGTGTCATCTCCCCCATGCCCTGTTTTGGCTGCCAGAGGCACTGTGGGCTGGTCCTTTGCTATTTCCAAGCTGGCCCTGCACGCCAGATTTAACCATCCCACGGGCCAGGTCCGACCCGCGGGCCTTGAGTTTGACACCCCTGCTCTAGAGGCATAAAATCTGCTCTCCTCACTGCTGAATCTTATCCTGAATGTCTTCTTAATGGGTAGTGCATTCTGATTATTTCACACTTTTAGGAATGCATGGTAGGATGAGCAATTGCCTTATCCCTCTAGCTTTGGGTTAATTTCCCTTTCTAAATGCCATTAACTGGTAGGAATCCTTGTCTTTACTTATCAGATGAGAAGATCTGAACGGGTTGAGTTTATCATTGGTTGAATCCGGGTATCTCTCCAAGTACACCAAGCCACTGACCTGTGGGGTCATGAGTGCTTTAATGAGTGATTCCCCCAAATTGATTTGTTTGGCAATGATTTCAGTATTATTTTGTGCTGGCTCAGACACAATGGGGACCTGTTGATACTGTATGTAACCCATGTTGTCCAATGGCTTCCCTGATGATCTCTGAAAATTTCCAGCTTTGGAGGATTGTTTTTTTGTTTGTTTGTTAGACTTCACTGGTTCAGGTCTTCGTGTACGCTATGATAAGGATTCTTAGTAAATCAGAAAGCTGAGCTGACAGAGATGATCCATTGAGTTTTTGCTTCTAAGTGATATAGGAAACCAGTGGTTGGAAGGATATGCATAATTCATTGTTGTGGTCGTATCATTTCATGATATAGTTTGGATGGATTGCTACTCCTCTCTATACCAGTTAGGATGTCCTGCCCCAAAAGACTTCAAGAATCAAAATGATTCTGAATGTTTTGGGGTTTTCCAATGGATATGATTAGTGTCACCCATTGTAGTACTTTTTTAGCTTAATATTACTAACCATGTTGCTTAGAATAAAGAAGTTTATTATTAAATTATATTTCCACATTTGTAACGTCTCTGTTTATGAAGAGCTTTGGACACTGTAGCAAAAAAAGATGATCTTATATTCTTGGAAGAATGTGTGTGTACTATAAAAGTATGAATGGTAAATATGGACCTAATATTTCATTTGCTGAAGCGTATGCACCGATGTTTATATTATCCCGTTTTATGAATTATTTCTCCCTACTTTTAGTAAACCTATCTGATTTGTCTTGTAGAAATGAAGAGGTATGGGATTATTGCATGCTTGCTGTTTTGGGATTTTGCTTCAGTGAAATCAGGCACCCTTTTATGGTTTTCTGGGGACATAAGAAAAGATCCCGCTTACGAACAAGCACTGCAGCCACTTTGTAGGGAAGACAGGGTTCAAACCAGCCCTGTTTTCAAAACAAAATTACTGCAACCAAAACCCCCACAGCCAGGAGCCATAAAATGGTAGTTTATTCTCAGGAAGTAAAGGGCCTGGAGCAGGCTACTACTACGGCAGATGGATTGGCCACCCCGACCAATTTCATTAAGGAAAGCTGAAGAGGCAATACATTTGATGCTTCCCTTTGCTGATCTATCTTTCTCCCCTTCTGCGTTTTAGGGAGATTCTGGTGGGCCCCTGGTATGTGAAGAGCGAGGCAAGGCCACCATCCGTGGCATTGTCAGCTGGAGCACAGGCTGTGCCCAAAGGAACAAACCTGGGGTTTACACCAATGTCGCTCGCTACCTCAGCTGGATTCAGAGCAACATGCATTAGGCAAGCCAGAGGGTGGAAAGCCAGTGAAATTGAAATCATGGGCCATGCAGCAGCTCTCCCCATGAGCTTGAACATCTCCTTCTCTCTTATTGTATGTGCAGTTCCCTAGGCTAGATGCTGAACATTACAGAATCGGAGGATACCAGTTGTGTGGGTTGTTTTGGGGGACAATAAACCATCCTGCACCAAATATTGAGACTCCATGTTGTAGTCTGAAAAAAATCTTTACTGAGACAATGGGAGCCCCACAGCTTCAGTTCGACGGCTCCCTCCTCTCTGCTAGGAAGGCTATAAATGCCAGGGGAAAAAGGGGGGGGGCTGCATGCACTGTCTCCGGAAGCCTCACATTTGTTCTCCATGCCAAATACACCTCAGCAACAGGCATCTCTTTGGCATCATTCTTGAGGAGATTTTGAAAAGGTAGGTTTTTCCTCCAACGGAAAGAACCACGAAAGCTGGAGTTCAGCGAAATGAAGTCCTTGAATACTGAACACGGAACTCACAGTAGAAGAACATTTTCACACAGGCATATCAAAATTATGAATCCATTTTGTGTTTTCAGCAAAATATGCTTGTGGAGCTGGGGGGGACGAAAGATTTTTTTTCAACAGAGGTTATTAATCTCCATAGACTCTGAACAGCAGAGGGCACCCCATGTCCACATTAACTCAGAACCATGGAGGGCAAATTTGCTCTGGCCCGGATGAGAAACTTCTCAAAAGCAGGCTTTGACCTAAAACTACGGTAAGTCTTGTGTTTGGCAAAGACCATGTAGGGTTATGAGCTTGTTGTTTTCAAGTAACTGAGAGCTGTCACAGAACATGGTTGGTTCTCTGTCCAGAGAGCAGGAAAAGATGACACAATGGAAATAAATGGCAAGAAAACGAAAGAATGAACAAACATTTTATTATAGTCGTAAAAGTTAAAACAACCAAATGCAATACGAGAATGCAGAAAAATCTGATAAATTAAGTAAATTATTTAGCACTCTTATTTGGGATCAACATAGCCAGACCTTATGGCTTGGACAAAGAATTTAGCAAATGTATAAGTAATTTTGGAATGCTTATTTTTAAAGGAAAAAAAATCTGAATACCATTGGTCTGGAGGGAGCCTTATCTTTTAAGGATTAGTTGGGAGCATAAGTCTCAAAAACTCAGAAAGCCATGTTCAAAGAATACATATTTTCGGAGGTCTGTGGGCAAGACAACAATCTAGCCGAACACTGGAAGAAACTTCCTATACTGTGTGACTTTTGAACAGGCAGACATGAATGGCGCTAGGCTCTCCTTGTTTGGAGATATTTAGAGATATTTAGAGCAAGACCAGAGGGTCAAGTATGCAATTATTTGTGTGCAGAAAGCACAACACAGGGAAACTGGGGGTACAGACAAATTCCACTCCTAATGATCCTGTGCTCCAGTGTCTTAGAAAGAACTTAACGGATTTAGTATAATGATATCCATTAATCATCACTGTGTGTGATCCGTCAATAAGCTTAGAATCTTATTACCTGCCAGTCAAATGTCTGTGCAAGGTAACTAGATAAATTACTATATAAATTAGATGTTTGGATTAGATTATCTTCAAGATCAATCCATCTCTACAGGTGTTTTCCATCACTAAGTGAAGCAATTGCTAAGTAGGAAATCATATGATTGCTTTCCTTTTCCTCACTCCTCTACCTTTTGGAATGCTCACCTCAGCTCTGGAATAATTATCAAGGAGGATATTTCTGTTTATATTCACATTCAATGGAGAGAAAGGGATTGCAAAAGAGTAAGCAGGCACACAGTGAGGAATGCATATTGAAAGCAATGTAGTGGCATTGTCAGCTCGAGCGTGCTCAGGGCTGGGAGCCTCAAGTTTACTCCGCAAGCAGCTCTGTTTGTGTGCCTGTTTATTCTCTTATAATCCTTTCCTTTCCAATTTCTGTAAGGGGTTAGGGGAGAAGAACAAAACAGGTCAGACACAATATAATGCACACTAGTTGAAATAACAACCACTTGACTGAAGGATGCTGCAGTGCAAAGGTCAAAAAGTTATATCTTCAGTACTATCATTAACTTCCAACAATCCCTGAACAAGGCAAATGGTAAGTGAGAATTATTTGTAGCGTTAAGCACCAGAAAATTCAAATGGCAGTTCAAATGGATATAAAGATTTATTGCAAGCTTAAGCTCTCAACATTAATCTGAACTACTAACAGTAGTTCAAACTGAGATAAGAGTCAAATGAAATTCAAGGTGGGCTACACTTAGTTCTCTTGCGGATGTGAAGGGACTCATGACTAATGATGAGTTTGACCATTCCCTCAGGCTCAGCCTGGTCATCTCCTACAGTATTATTATTACATGATGTACATGATTATAATTGGTGGGAAGAATATAAGTGAAAAATTGGAAAGTGGTACCCAGAACAGCAAACAGGGATTCTCCTGATTTTATAAGATGTTTACATTGAATCACTGATGGGTTGTCAATTTTTTTATTACTGGTTTGGGTGCGCTTGTGTGATGCTTCTGCGCATGCGCAGAAGCATCCGGGTGGGCAGGCGGAGCCTCCTGACACCGGTATTACCGGTTTGCCTGATCTGGGCCAAACCAGGAGCAACCCACCTCTGCATTGATTTCTCCTGAAATGATAAGCAAATAATAAATCAAATTTGTCAGCATTCATTGATCAAGAAAATCCATAGCTTAGAAGATCCATATTGTACATAATATAAGTAGCAGAAAGTGGCACATCTACAACCGTAGTAGCTCAATGTGTGTAGATGCAGGTGGTGATTTATGATTTGCTGCTTATTCAACAGAGATTCATGTAAAATCATGTGAAGGTTCGTGTTTGTTCTGAGTTGTGCCCAAAACATTCGGAACTACAATTGCATTTTGTATGCAGATGGCTGTGATGTTTGTTTTCGTTATGGTTGTCTATAAATAACATGACAATTACGGAACTTCAACATAATCTGTGCCTCAGGTTCACATATTTGCATCATATAGTGCCAACAATGTCAGATCCAAACTTTTGTACATATAATAGTATCAAAAATCAAAAACCCATAACAGATAAGATTTTTCGGGTAGCCACTATGTAAAACAAACCCATGAATCCAACTGTTACCCTGATAAAAGCGCACTGAGCAAAGTTTATGCTTCATGTGAACTGATACCATGACCCTGACTTAACTGAGTCAAGTAAGAGCTAGTTTATTGTGTAAGTAGCTAAATCCATTTGGTGTTGGGTTTAGAGGGATTTACTGGCCAGTCCTCGATTTACAATAGTTCATTTAGTGACCCTTTGAAGTTACAACAGTATTGAAAAAAAGACTCCTGACCATTTTTCACACTTATGACCGCTGCAGCATCTGCATGATCACGTGATTTATATTAAAAAGCTTGAGAACTGACTCATACTTACGACGGTTGCATTGTCCTGGAGTCATGTGATTCCCCTTTGCAAGCAAAGTCAATGGGGAAACCAGATTCACTTAACAATTGTGTTACTAATTTAAGAACTGCAGTGATTCACTTAACAAATGTGGTGACCCCACTTAACAAACCCCACTTAACAAATCTCACTTAACATTTGGGGCTCAGTTGTGGATATAAGTTGAGGGTCACCTGTATTTTATTCCAAAACATCCCTGGGATTGTCTAAGTTGTTCAATCTTAGCCATATTATAGAAATAGGAAATAAAGAGTTAACAGAGAAATAACTTTCGCTTCCTGCTGCTGGCAGACAGGGAGAGTCATAAAACAACTCTGAAAAAAAGGAGCTGCTATAGCAAATATCTTTATTCCTATTTTTCTTTAAAAATTCCCTTTTCAGTCACATGGAGGGTAAAAAGGAATGCGACTGCTTTTTTCCCCAGTCATCCTTAAACATCACAACTGCCTTCACTTAATATTCTTTCCCAGGTGAAATCATTTAACGTTGCTAAACATATTCAGCTTAGTTAATGATCACCTTGGGTTGGTCCATATGAATCTGGAAATTTGGTTATTTCAGTGATCAAGTTAACTGTGTGGAATGAATGCAGCTTGAGGATATGTGTATGTATGAATATTCTAAACTATAAGAAATGTTGCTAAGGTTTGCTTGCTGAGCTCCTACGTGATATAACTGAAAGAGAGTGGAGTCCATCATCCAAGCCCAGCCTCAACGCAACTTGCACTGAGGGTTGTTCAGTACAATCTCCTTCTAAAGACCAGCGACTCAGACAAACAACCCCACAACACTTGGAAACTAAAAGGAGGGCTGGAGCTTGGAGCTAGGCCTTCTGGCTCGTGGAATCCAGCTCCTTTGGCGCCAACAGCTGTTTTTAGATAGGTTGAGGGTCAGTGCTTCAAGTTTTTCTATTTTGAGCCCGAAAGCTGGGGAAATTGCTCAGCCTCTTGCCTCTGCATGTTTGAGCCAAGAGGGCTGGCCAGTCTGGTCCTTTCAGATCCAAACTGCATTCCAGCCTGCCTCTTGAGGAGACTTTCCCTCCTCTGTCACTTAATCTTCTCATGCCCCTTTGCATCGCCGTCTTTCCACACATACATCACAGCCTCGTCAACTTCAGCTTCATCTCCCTGGTGCAAATGTTGTGTGAGAAGAAGTCCCATGTCACTGGACTCTTTCAGAAAGCTGCAAGGTCTTCCCTCATAGGAATTCTGGGCTGCCTCTCACCATCCATGTGCCACCTCACCATCTCCCACCTTCTGCCCTTCCAGCAGCTATCTTGTCAGCAACTTCCTGGAATGAGGCTCTGCTTGAAACAGGGCCTAATGGCACCAATAGAAACAGCACAAAGTACCTAAAATGTATCTTCATCTAACTTCTTAATCTTCCATTTGGTGGAAATTAAAACAAAAACAGTTACAGTGATAGTAGCCCATCAACAGAAAAGAGATGAAATGAGCTTGAAAAGGAAGAGTAAACATTCCCCTCCCAAAATAAAGGTAAAAGTAAAGGTTCCCCTCGCACATATGTTCTTGTCTCTAGAGGGCGGTGCTCATCTCCGTTTCAAAGCCAAAGAGCCAGCGCTGTCCGAAGACGTCTCCATGATCATGGGGCCGGCATGACTAAACGCCGAAGGCGCATGGAACGCTGTTACCTTCCCACCAAAGGTGGTTCCTATTTTTCTACTTGCATTTTTACATGCTTTCAAACTGCTAGGTTGGCAGAAACTGGGACAAGTAACAGGAGCTCAGTCTGTTACACAGCACTTGAACCACCAAATTGCCAACCTTTCTGACAAGCTTAGCATCTTAGCCATTGAGCCAATACAGACACTCAAATTTCATCTTTAAAACCACTGTATGACTAGTCTTAAGAGCCAAGGTCAAAACTGCAAAAAAACCTGGATTCCTCATCTCCCATCTTGGCCCAACTATCAAACTCAGGACTCTCTGCTCCAAGGTGTTACTTCCATAGGGAAATTGAAGAATTGGGAGAGATATAAAATAACAACTGGATCAGGAAACATCCTGAGAACATACTGCTCTTTTTGCTTCCTTGCACCATCATTTTAATACAGCTCCCTAGGGCCCCATCTCCCTCTTCGGATATCAAAATTCATTTCCAGCCCTATTCTCTCCCATGCCAGCTGGCTGCCTGCAACTCAGAGATGTCAGAATGGGGAAGGGCCATTGCCATAAACGTTTTCATTCAACCCAAGCAAGCTCCATCCTACTAATTAGGAGGCAAATTTATTTACTGCAATCTGCATGATCCAGGTATTTAATATTTGTCCAAATCCTGGAATATCCCAAGGGCCATGTGGAAATCATGTGAAATGCAGCTTTTTCGCTTAATTTATACTTAAATCACAGAATGTAGGCAGGTATAATTTGCCTATTAAAAAAACAATCCCCATCCCATTGAAAATAGACCATAACAGAGTTTCACAGAAGATGTGAAATCAGGATTACATAACCACACACACAGTTTCAAAAGATAATCAGTGGAGATGATTTGGAGCACTGCTGTTTTCCCCCTCCTCGGTGTTGCAAAGGCCATTCTGTAAAAAAAAAAAACGACCCCAAATTTGCTAAACTGACCAACCACATAGTGGTTCTGGATGGAGGTCTGCACCCTTTAATGATTCCAAGTTCACCCCCCAAACCTTCCTGTATTAATTCCAGTGTAGTGCAAGGCAATGCTCTGTAGAAGATGCTTTCTGGACCTGTCCAGGTCGCCTTGAAAGAAGTGTCCATCATGCTTATCAAACGCCAAGGTTGCTCCGTTAAAAAAAACCCAAAATACAGAACAAGAACAAAACAAAAGTAGACCAACCCTTTATTAGGACTAAACAAAACATCATGGAAGAGTGCAAAATGTTAACCTTGTAGTGGAAGGAGTATAGGGGACACATCCTAGGAAGATGAAAGAGAAATGTGAGAGTAGACACATTTTAATCCACTTCTGGAATCTGGGTGAAAAGAACAAGCTGTGTAGACTTCCAGGCTGGATGCTGGAGTGCATTTGAAGCATGACAGGTTTATAATGCTTTATAATGAAAAGATAATTCTTAGTGTCAGGTTCATTGAGATGTTAGAAGAAACAAGCATTCTTTCTTTCAGGTTCTTTTGTCCTTCCAGTTTATCTCAGTGGTCAATCTGTACATGAGAACATAGTTTACCCAAACTCTCTGAGAGATAATAGTTAAGACACCAGCTGCTCTTCTAGGTGTCTGGAACTGGGGTGAGTAATATGGAACTAAATGGGCCTATCTCCGTGGATACCTGCCTAATTTACAAATGAGCTACCAGATGTCCCTCTATTAGCCGGTAGAAATGTTTGCCTTCTTTGTAGTTTTCTTGTTGGATTGGTCTCCTTAGCAACATAATCAGCTTACAGGAAGAGAGACTTCACATGAAATCACCCTCATTGATAACTATTTATCACAATAGGACAAGGCAGTAGGCCTATTGGGGGGGTTAAAGGCATGTCCACAGACTATTATCCCGTCACAGGTGACAGATGAGCAGAAAAGCCATTTTATACACAGAAGAAGCGCATTAAAGAAGCAGCCCTGTGACTGCAAAGTATGTTCTGTGGATCGGCCTTGGGTTACAACGGCTGCCACTTTTTCTGTCCTTAAAGAGTCTCTAAGACATTAATTAAGTTCCTGGCAAACAGAACTTGCCTTGCTTCACTGTCCACCCCGCACCCTTACAGTACCAGGAAGAAATTAATATGTTGAAAGCCTGTTAAAGTTAAGGTTGGAATATGAGGCAGGAGCCCAGAACCTAAACTTGTGCCTCCGTTGTAATTCTGGGCAATGGCATGAGTTACCCTGCTAAGCATAGGGGACATTAAAAAAAAGAGTTGATTGTTGGGAAGAAATGCCTAAGAAATGGCAGGTGCTTGGCTGCGGCACCACCTTCAGCTTGAGAAACTAATCTCAACAAACCGGAACAACAGGAAAAACTTAATTGCTGGAGGCAATATGGAAGACACCTTTAGTATGATTGACAGGAACCTCTTTGCCAAAACCTATGCCTGGCATCTGCCCAGAAGCAGGATCAGGGTAATGTTTCCTCAAGCCAGATGGTTGAGTAAGTTTTGCAGTATGCCCCTTGTTTAGCTCAGCTTCCCATGAACTCGCAGGCAAGCTAGCCAGAGGACTGTGAAACTGGCAGCTTTACACCACCAAGTAAAGCACCATCATCCACTTGATGCTGCAGGAAATATTCCCCCACTCCTTCTGGGTCTATCCATCTTTCTGCAATGCCAGAGCATCCCTAGGATAAGTCGGTTCCTTGGTCAAGTCATCCACTGTCCTTGGAAAAGTTCTTCCCACCTTGATACCCCACCAGCCCTCAAAATCCCCAATCAGTGAGACCAATGGCTGAGAAGATGGGAGCTGTGGGACAGAGGGCTCTGGGGATTGGGAAAAGTTATCTTAGGACAGCCATGATTTTGCTCCTTTCCTTTTTCGCTCTTTCTGGGGAGGACATCAGCCAAACTTCAAGCTGCTCAGACCCAAAGTAACAAGGAAATAACTTTCAGAGGCAGAATGCTTCTTGCTACAGTTATGCATTGAGAGAAAACGTGAGGTTATCATTGTGATTACAGTATACCGCATTCTGTTTGTGAGTTTTTCCTTCAAAGCCCGCTAGCTGGCTCTGATGGAGTAGCAGACCACTAGATGGATCTTTTTATGATTTTAATAGGCCCCCAATTCCTCCAAATGCCCCCACCCTTGTTTTGACAAGGGACAATATACGTGAGACAGAAAAACACGCAGCTGTACATTTTTAGTTCCAGTACCAAAATAGTCAGCCTGCTGAATCCCCTTTAATAGAATCTGTTTCTGTTTCCCCTTCCCACAGAGCAGCTGGGATAAATGAATGTTCCTTCCAAAGCTTCTCTGCGTTAGAACTGGTTTTGGAGCAGACTTTCCGTTTTAGGATTAAGGATGGAGCCCAACCACTGAGGTGGTTCAATATAACTTGCCCCCTAAACCAAGTATTAGGGTTAGCATAACCAAGAACATACATTTGCTGGTTTATTATTACAACAATGTCCAAAATTTGGGGCGAGTCTGCATCGGGAATCAAAACTGCCATAGTAGCTGTGGCAGTACATAAATAATTTGACCTCAGCCACCCTCTGCTCCCACTACCTCCGTTAATTAGCTTGCTGAATAACAGATAAGGCAACCACAGCAAGCTAGAGAAACAGGCAGGAGGGTGAAACTGACTCTTGCCAAGCAACTGCATGCCAGTAAGTCACAGAAATCTTGCTTCTTGTGGCACTTCTGCCCTTCAAGCTACATGCATGCCTGGGGAGGCGAATTCTTCATTAAAAAGCAGCTGCAGAAATACTCAGCTCCCCAGCCTCCACTAGTTACCTTCTCTGGGACCCCAAGGGGATGTTCTGTAGCCAGCCCCCCCTGTCCATCGTGCCTCTCTCAGGTTCCAACAACCCTCTAGCAGAGTCCTCATTTTCGGCACAGGAATGAGTGTGCAGGGGACAGGAGTTGCTGGAAAGCTCTGCGGAAGTCCCGGTTAAAGACCGTATAGATGATGGGGTTGAAGCTGCTGTTGCAGTACCCAATCCAGAAGAAGAATTTGAAGAGAGGCTCGGAGATGCAGCAGCCTTCTCCAAGCACAGATTCCAGGCTGTAGCTAAAGAAGAACGGGAACCAGCAGAGGACAAAAGCTCCAATGATAAAAGAAAGGACAAAGGTGAATCTGCGCTCCCGGGCCTGCATCAGACGATTGGTGGAGAGGGACATGTCCCTGCTTCTGTGGTGATGGGGATTGGAGGGAAGCGACCAAGAAAGCCTTGGGGTCCTTGGTGGCCGAGCACTGCTGTTGCCACCGTCATCTACCCTCCACTGCCGAGAGAGCCGTGGCAAGTTAGGCTGGGGGCGAGGAAGCTGGCCAGACTCCATTCCCATCTTCTGCGTTTCCCCAGGAGGCTGGGTGCTCCTTCTACAGGGATTGTACTTGGCCACGGGGATGAAGTTGGGGTAGGACACCCGCCGTGCTGCAATGACCATGGTGTTCCTGTGTTTGGCCACATGATAAATCCGGCAATAGACTGCAACCATGATGAGGCAAGGGGCATAGAAGGAGGCAGTGCAAGAGGCCAGCACATACCAGGTGTCATCATGCAGGAGGCAGACCTGGTCCTGCTGTCTGGACTTAAACAGGGGTGGCAGGGATACAATGGCAGCAATGGCCCAGACAGCCCCAATCGTCCATTTCACCCTCTGGGGGCTTCTTTTCAGATTATAGCGGGCAGCTCGGGTGACTGCCCAGTAGCGATCTAAGCTGATGGCACACAGGTGCATGATGGAGGCGGTACAAAACAGGACGTCCAGTGACAAGTAGAAACTGCACCAAAGACCCCCAAAACACCAGTAGCCCATGATCTCATTGGCCAAGGAAAATGGGATAATGAGGGTGGCTACCAGGATATCGGCTGTAGCCATAGACACCAGGAAGAGATTCTGTGGGGCCCGTAGGGCACGGCTAGTGTACACAGCTAATACAACCAGCACATTCCCTGTAAACGTCAAAAGAGCCACAGTCAGTACTGCCATAAGGATGAGACTTGTGGCCAGAGGTGAGTGCGGAAAGATGGTGGGTCCCTGCTCGCTCTGATTGCTAGATCCATTTTGCTGTGGCTCCATCCCATTCATCCCCAGACCAGGCCATCCCCTGACTGCCTGCGTAAGGTTCACCAGCTCCCAAGTCTTGCTCAGGTAGGGCAAGTTGTGCAGTCAGGATAGCTGCAGAAAAGGATGGCACTGCCACCAACCTTCTTCTCGGTGGGCACCATTCTAAACTAGGAGGCAACAGCACAAACCTGCAGTGGCCCTGCAGAATCCAAGCTGTCAGGTTGGATGTTGAAGCAGAATCACAGTCTTCAAGAAGGCATGACGGACCTTGAAGGGTAAGATGGATCCCAGAATATTTTGAGACAGGCGGCAGATCTGACAGTTTCCCCAGCTCACTTCTCCAGCTATTCTCACCAGTTCTTCCTGTTGCTGTAACCTTTCCGGATTTGGATTATTGGGAATATCCAAGACAATATTGGTGGGAAGACAGAAAACTCCAGTCTTCTTGGATACTTCCTTTTGGCTGAAATGATGTGAAGCTCAGCTGGGCTGCTCCAGTTTGAGTCTCTCTGAGGCTGGTCTTTGCGCTCCCTGTAGAGGAGGGAAGGGAGGGGCTGACGGAGTTACTGTTCGGCCCTTAGGCACCCAGCCAGATTTGGCTGGTGGTGGGAGAGGCTGTTTGCTACCAATATTAATGAGCCTCGGAGAGTCTCCCTGAGTTGCTTACTATTGCCCTACCTGTTAAGTGCAAACTGGCAGCAAAGGGGGGGAAGGACTGTGCCCAGTTGCCTCAGTCACTATTCCAAACTATTTTTTGAAATTATAACTGTGCTCTCAACATAAAGTCCTTCTAAGAAAGCGTATTGGAATTTGCAATCCTTGTTTGTCCGGGGCAGGGGTGGGATAAGCCCAAGATCTTTATTTTCTAATCTTCCTCCCTACCAATAAAACTTTTTGCTGGAACAGAAATAGGTTATTGGCTTAATGACAGAAACAAGCATTAACTTCTCGGAGTATTGTCTTTCTCCTTCAATCTGTTAGAAGCCCACATCCATCTGGAAGGGAAGCCAGCAAGTGTGCACATTGGTAGGAGTTGAGAGGGTGGTGTCTCTGCAATTTGGCAGTGCTGGCCAACTTTGGGGGTCAGATGCTAAGCACAACTAGGCCCAGTTAGGACTTGGAGGCTCCTTTGAGAAGTAGATAAAGACTTTCTGGAAGATAGTAATGGCAAGCCCCAATCATGCTGTTTCCCCCTACCTATCCCAAAGCATGCATGCTGGTGGTATTGGAAGAAATGTCCATCTGGGTTCAGCTCCAAGTGGAGGAAAAGACACTGGAAACATGGAGGCTGCTTGGAAAGATGGTTAAATGATGGACAGAATCAAATGACTTGAGTTCCTGAACAGAAAAAAGGGATCAGAAGCTTCAGATGTTGGACGAAGAAGAAAAAGAAAGTGAGATGCAAACTTTCTGGTTTTATGCCCACTCTGGCCTTTGATCTTAGTCTTGTATTCTGATTGGTTGACAGACTCCCATGGTGCCCTGCGGGGGCAACTTTTTAGGCTGTGCTTTGAGTCCAAGTTTGGTTGCCCTACTGGTTGATGTAATTTTCCCAGGTGCCTTGCAGTGAGTTTCTGTAGAAGGCTAATCCTACCTTTGTTATAGACTAGCCGAGGCTTTAATGGCTCATTGACAAAGGTGGGGGTTATTAAGAGTGAGTCTGTTTCCTGCCTAAAAGCATGTTTCTCCATTTCTTATCCAGGGAAATATAATATTCTGCCTTTTCAATATTTCCCAGGATATTTTCATTTTTCTAAGAGAGGGGTGGGTTTTAACTCCCTACAGTGGCATATCATCACTGGGCATCGAACACTACTTGTAGGAGACTTCCTTATGCTTCTAATGGTGGTGGTGGGAATTATAAGGGATAAAAACATGCCTAGATTTTGTGAGGATTCTGTAGCTGTGATTGCCTAGACCTGAAACCTGTGCACTT